CATGTATTAGCATGCTGACACTATAGTGGAGCATTCAAATGAAACACTCCAGTTTTGTGTAAATGGAAAAAAAAACATGTCCCTGGCTTAATGACAGTAATGTGAGCGTTTCTGCACTTTGGTAAGTATTTGATTGTAATATATATATATATATATATATATATATATATATATATATATATATATATATATATATATATATATATATATATATATATACACTTACAACTTTTTTCTTATTGTCTTAAGTTGAAGACCAAACTTTTAGGTCTGTTAGAATAACAAATTATTTCAATTTCCTAGATGCACAATAATGAGAGAAAAGATATGTCAGAGTTCTTTATTAACATTTTTAAAATCAGAAGTTTACATATAGAATGATTAACGTTTCTTTTAACAATGAGGGGAAACCCAAGTGATGATGTCATGTCTCAGGAAATGTTTCATGAATTAACATATATTCATAAGTAGTTAAGTCCACACCTTGAGCACATTGCTTTATTGCTTGACATGGAAGTAAAAATCAGCCAAGAGATCAAGAAAAGATCTGTGAAGCTGCACAAGTCTAGTTCATCCTTTGGAATAATGACCATTGTTACATTTGGAGGAAAAATGGGAATGCTTGTAAACTTGGGAATACCATCCTCCTAACTGTGGCAAAGGGAAGAGGCAGCATCAATTTGTTGTGAATTTTGCAGGACAAACTGGTGAATTTCTCAAAACTGATGAAAGTCTGAGGAAGTCAAATATCTAATTTCAGCCAGTAAATTAAAGCCCCAGTGCAAATAGATCTTTGAAATGGACCCTGACTTGAAGCATATTGCCAAAGTGGTTACAAGGACACAATGTTTTGGCATGGCCACCACAAAGCCCTGATTTAAATTCTTTAAAGAAATTGCAGGAAAGTCTGAGATAGAGTGCCAACGAGGCCTACATACCTGACCATTTTGCACCAGTTCAGTGAGAAGAAATGGGCAATAATTTCAGTAAACTGTTGTGAGAGCCTTGTGAAAAGAATCCTAAAAGGCTTGACCAGTCATCACACTACCAAATACTGGATAAATTTATGCACACTTATGACTTTGAAGAAACTAATAACTGAATCTCTGACTTATTTGTTCTGCTTTTGGTGCTTCTGGTTAAAAAGGAACCCTATGTGAAGAACTATATCATCATTTCTCAATAATTCAAGCAATACTTTACTTTGGGACCTTTTTTAAAGTTTACAAATCAGATAACTTGTAGAGAAGAAGCTTATTTTTATGTACAAATATTTTGCCATCTATTTTTACTTTTTTCTATCTATTCTCAGAGACCAAGATACACAGTCTTGCCACACTGGTGCAATATATGCTTTTCTAATCTTCATGTAAATATTCTAATACACTACACTACCTCAGGCTGTGCCATTAAAGTGATAACGAGGCACTCACCATGTTAGGCTCATTTCATCCCTGCCAAATAATTACTGGCATAAAACGCTGTTGTGATCCCACACAATGATTGTGCCCATCAACCATTAAATGAAAAAAACAAGTCTGTACATGACATGAAGGTGCCATATGCTACTGTTTCAACACATATCTGTAACAGTTTGCATAATAAGTTTTGTTAAATGGTTGTAAATAAGAGAAATACAAGTCTTATAATTTGCATCAGAACCCCGCAATAAAGGATAAATATGTAGTTATCTAGGCCTACATTTAATGTATTAAATGTGTGAAACATTGTTTTTTGTCAAACCACTAACAGAATATAGGTTTTGTAAAACCAAGAGTTTGCAAATGACTACTAATTTAAAAGTCAATAGACATAGTTTAAACCTAATCTTTCTTACAACATACCTAACAATGCAAAAATCTTTGACTCCAAACAATAATAAATATTTGAATGTAAAGGTATGCATTAATAATCCATAAAAATCATACATTTTGAGAATTTATTGTAACAATGAGTGGGGACGAACAACAGTCGACGTCACCATTCATTGGCAGGAACTTCATCCATTTCAGTAATTCACTGTCTTCCCTCATGATTTCTGGGTCTCATTTCTAGTTATTGTTAGTTTGAGTGTGAAACCTGATTTTCATTCAGACGATGTTTGACTCCCTTCTCTCTAAAATCTGAAATCCTCAATATTCTCCTTACTTCGGCAATAGAAAAATGACAAATGTTTACAAAAATATTGTAAAATTGAAGCTGAACCGTTAAGACTAAATAAAAATACCAATGATGCCACATACATTGTAGAATAAAAATAATTGTGTGCTTTGATAGAAATCAAAAATCAATTTCCAATGAAAATATTATTTCTCCTTTTGGTACATAATCACTGTGTGGTAAGACGCAATAGGACTTTGAAGTTTACTTTGAAGCAATAGGACTTTAACACTTCCGCTTTATATTTTCATTTTCTCTACCTTATTGTAGGAAGTATAATTAAAGTAAAGAATTTTGTCAATTTTATGAAAATATATTTCGTAAAAATTAAAATAACAAAATTGTGGAAAACATCTATAAAAATATTGCAACTTTTTAGAGATTCTTAAAAGCTGTAAAATAACTTATCACTACATAGCAAAACATGTTGAGGAACATGGTATATACATCAGAAAAGAAAAAAAAAACTAAACAACAAAGTCAAAGTCAACTGCCTATAGGAATTTGCATTTAAATGTACAATTAATCCCAAAACTATTAATGCCATAGGTAGATTAAAGTTTTTTTTTCTAATTTTTCCTTCAATCCAACATTTTTTTGTATTAGAAAATGAGCACATCTCTTAAAATACTAAATTAAAAAAAAAATTTAAAAATGGTGTCATTTTCCGTACAAAATGGGATATGAAAAATTATTTATACCCTGCTGAATAATTAATTAACCTCCCCTCAGTCTCACTGTGACGCTAAGGAGGAGCGTGGAAAATGTCATGGACAGACAACAGGGAAGCCGGGGAGTTGTCCCATCAGACAGTCAAATTCTGAAACCACACAAAAAAAAAAATCTTGTAGAAGCGCACACAGGGTCAGTGCCGCCCCACCACACTGTGCACAAAGTAAAAAACTTGTGGGATCTAAATGTCCCCATCTACTAAGACAGTGTGAGGGTTGATTAAAAAGTAGCTACAATCTTTTCAGAATGCTCCAGAACAAGTCAGATTAGAAAAAAACAAAAACAAAAAAATCACATTGTTGATTTTTTGTGAATACAGCAACACACGTATGTGTTGCTATGTGCTTATGTTGTTTCACATTCAAGTTGTTTGAAAATAGCCAGGCCGTTTTCAGCCCAAGTGAATTAATCTAAAAATCATGAATGAATGTCCCTTCATTGTCATATTCATAAAATCTGCAAACATAATTAATGCCAATAATAATTTTACCAAAATAGCTAATGTTGCCTTTCCGGTGTTGTGACAAAATCATATCAGCTTTACATGTACTTTAAATGATTTTTTTTAAAGTGAAGTTTGAAAATTCTGAGAATGTGTAAAAATCAAGATCACTGAAGACCAAGAAGATTTGGTCTAATCCACAGGGCTGGACAGTAGTTAATTTAGTAACTAATCACCTTTAATCGCCTGTGTTGGCAGAAAACCGCATGACATTCATTGTAATACTCTGAAGAACTGACAGAGTAAACAAACCAGGCGCAGATACCAGCACTCAATTTATAAGTGGTTTAGCTGCAAATTCTCCAAAGTCGACTTAGTATCATAGCTCCTCTTAAGACCTCAAGTTTGTGCCGCTACTCCTACTTTAACAAACTCTGTTCTAAACTGTGCTTGACGTTCAGCAAGCTCAGGCACAAACATCAAGCACACGCACGCCCGAGTGCACATCCACAGCACTGCCAAACGCACACGACATACACAATTCAAAGCAGTACTCGCACAAAATTAAAGCTGTTAAAATGGATTTGAGGCAGAACCATGAAGGCAGCAGCTTGGTTTGGGGGTGTGTGTGCAAATGTGATTAGAATAAAGAATTTGCTCAAATCTGCAGAACAGAAGGAGGAACTTCTCTAAAATAGTTTAGAATGTGTTCAGTGCTCGTGTGTGTGTGTTTTCGAGCGTGTGTGTATGTGCGTGGAAATTTCATTGCTTAATACCATATTTATTATTATCTACATTTAATTAAAATGTGAATACTGCAGTTTATTTCATGATTAAATGAACTTGAAAAGTTAATTAAATTAGTTAATTAAGACTAAAAGGAAAAAAGATGGTGTTGATCTATGTTTTAACTAAAATGATCTCATGGAATTGAAAAATTATAATGAAAAATCCCAAACAAGCAGATTTAGGGCTTACATATTCCACCAGTGATTAAACATATACAGTTAAATAACTTAGTTACTTTATCATGTGCAGAGTTAACACAAACAATTAAAAGTTCATTAAAAGTACATTCAACACTACAACTCAGGCTAAGACTGTCTAGGACTAACGCCTCAATTTTTTTTCCCCTCCAAAACAAATCAACAGACATTTAAAAAAAGGGCATCTCCAAGATTACAAAAATATCATATAATTATGCACTGCAATATGAATTAATATTTCCTTTGGGTTTCTGAACCTATTTCATCTAAAACCTGCAGTGCAGGAATCAATGCGACTAAAAGTTTCCTTTTCAGATAATGAGTTTGTTTTCCAACAGCTCCAGTGAGACCACAGCTGAAGGTGACACTGAAATATATGTGTAAATAATTTGAAGGGGAGCTGTATTAACTGGAAATAATGCACTGCACTAAAATTAAAACAGCAGAACCCATTTCAAAATGTCTTTTCTTATCAACCTTTCTTGTTTTTACAGAGGACTACTGCCTTATTTCATCCTCACAAAGAATTAATAACAAAAGCTCTAACTTCGATAGTCAATAAGGATTTGCTTTAATTCTCTAAGAATAAGGGATGAGCATGCTGATTGAAATTAAGTTTACGTTGAGGCAATACTGACTCACATAAAAAATAAAAAATAAAAATGCCTGTTTGAACTCACCTGCAGGTCTGGATTCTCTTCATGCTGTAGATGGGCTTCCTCTGCTGCCTCCACCAATCGCTGCAAAAACAGAGAAGATAACATTATAGCTTCAACAGAAATGTGAATCGGCTTTGTAGTTTAAAACTAATAGGCAAGAAAAGCTCCATACAGAAATTATCTGTGTAAGATTCTGTAAGTGCCACAACAATATTGATACCTTTAAAGACACAGACACACAAAGCAGGCAAACATTTGGTAGTCTCATAAAAATAAGTAATTTTCTTTAATGCATCAACAGAAGAGGTAATGACTGCCCTGGACTCCCTGATTCCACTGAAACCAGACATCATTGGCTCATGCTGTTTTACACTTGCACATTTCTCTCAAACAACCATTACCAGGCACACTCACAAATGGCCACACATGAAGTCACTCCATCATCACCCTCTTGCTGGTACCGTCTGCTGTGTCTCCAGGGTGATCCGGGTCGGTATCTGTGTGCCTTTGAGTCAGTTTTAGGCTTTTTACAATCTCTCAAAGAGCTAACATTTTGATTTTGTTTGTTTTTTGTGAAGATCTGCCACATCAAATAATTATGAAAAAACTCTGAAAAATGTGTTTACAGAATATTAGGGTTTGCTCACATGACACCACTGTCTGGAAACAGGAGACGTGAGACGTTCGGCTTGCAGGGCATGCCACTCTAAAAGTCGATGCATGCACTCCTGGTGCCGCTCAAAATTAAACTCATAATCACGCTCCTCCATACTGTGAAGTTCTCTGATAGCAGAGAACTAGTATTTTTTCAATGTTGAGTTGGGAAAATGTTTATATTTAGACACCCCTGTCTTGTTGTCCATGATTTTAACCTGTCGAAAGACACGTGTCCTTTGTCCTGATGAACCATGTGCCCATGCAACACACAAATATTAGAAGATGCTAAGATGAAAAAGCTAAATAGCACAAACAGTACAATATAATCTGTCATTTTCTTTACTGTTAAATACCCATGCATGCATAGGACAAATCCTGCAGGTTCTGCGCATGTTTCCACACTGAGCACTTCACACCTCTGCATGGGGTGTTCCCGTAAAGTCTCACTCTGAGACCTGGTTTCAAAAGTAGTGACTTTAACCAGTTCTGCCCCAGTCCGCCTCGGTCAGATTCATTTCCGTTAGGTCCTAAGTAGTTCTGCTCGGCTCTTCTCCAATTTTTGTACCCACTTCAGGGTACAAGTCACATCAAGCTGTGAATTCATGTGCAAGGAATTTGATTGACAGCGGACTCCATTTGTTGATTTACGTCCCTGCAAACTCCAAACAACATTTCAAGCACAGCACTGTACACCGTCTGGTATCAGAGAACTGCACAGTATGGAGGAGCGTGATTATGAGTTTAATCCTGAGCAGCACCAGGAGTGCATGCATCGACTTTTCGAGGGGCATGCCCTGCAAGCCAAACGTCTCTCAGAAGAACGAGGATCCAAAGAAGGAGCAAGAAATTGTACAGCTCTGGTCAGCATTCAGTCAAAGTTGCAGTTTTGTGCTGGTCTGGTGTGAAACACTTGTACAACATAATGTTAGTTTGGGATACATTTTATATTTTGTTTGGACATTTTTATTAAATCAATTTTATGCATTGACTGCATTAGTAAAAATTCAAAATGTATTCCTTACATCTAAGAAAATGTAAGTAATATACAAATGATGCTTCCTGGAAATCTCTCTTTCCAAAGAAACTTTTTTCACTTGCATGTCATGACTTTCATACATTAATAAGATTGCTGACACAAACATAATTTACCCTTACATTCTGCTATATTTATAGGTTCATCATTTATGAATCTTTAACATCTTCTAGATTTATGAGCCAGAACTGATGCTTTTATCATCAGGAGCATATACACATAATAGTGCTGGTTTATTGAATTTGGTTAACTCGAGTTAACCCTAAATGATATTCCATTGTACATAATTACTGCACTTTCACTGCTGGAGGCACTGGAGGTGAAATGAGACCTTGTGCCAAAAATTTGCCCCCTTTGTATAATTTTAACTTGATAAAACAGAAAGAGCATATTTTTCTTAAAAACAATTTATTTATTTTTTTTTCCCTATGGATCCAATAAATTGTACCACTTTTGACTATTCCATTAAATCATACAGGAAGCCTTTGGAGACATAATTTCCTTTATTTCAGTTTTCTTCTAGATACTAAGAAAAGAAATGGATTTACAAACATGTTTCACCATCTACCAATCTACTTAGATGGCAAGTTGTTATTCAGTTTGGCTGTTAACGTTGGCCGACAGCCAAAAGTAGCAATACCATAGTTTGTTGGATAAAAGAGAATCAGTAATTATTGATGATTAGCAGGAAAAAAAATACATTGCACATTTACAAAGTCCATTGTTTTTCTAAGTTGGCATTAAATGTTAAGATGATTCATTGCTTAGTTGTAAGTTAGACTGCAAAATAGTCATGGTCTCCTTCATGTTCTTTATTACTAGTAAAGGCAAGGTTGTGTTGATCTACACTTATTTTCCTTTACCTCTTTTTTATCTCCTATTGCTTTTATTCCGGACTTGCACTGATTTATTCCTAGACAAGTCCCAACTTTTCTAATCAAGTCAAGCATTATCAAACATCTCCCAAAGTCCTATTTTTAAAAAACGGCTTATACAGAAGCATTTTCAATTTGCAAACCGTGACAAATCGTTTCTGCTAAGAACAAAAGTGTAGGCTAAATTTGTAGTGCCATCATAAGCCAGTGTTTGCCAAAATCAGATTCATAAAATACAATTCTGATGTCGGACTAAGAAATATCTATTCTTTTTGAAAAATTATCAACTAATGTACAAGGTGAGGGATCAAGCCAATACCTTTCAGGCCTTAACTCTTAATGATGTCTTACAAACATACAGATACACATTTCTTTATATATAAAAGTGATGTGGTACTCATTGTGCTTTTTCACTCTGACCAGCTTCTCTCGTTCACATCTGGTTTCACTGCCTTGGAGGTGTAGTAATGAACTTCCATTTCACATTTCCATTCAAATGGCTTTCACCACTAAACTACTGCAATCAGCCATCCTATTTTAGCTGAGCAATGGGTGTGTGTTGTGATGCTGTTATGTGTGTAGGCAAGCTGTTTTGGGAAGCAAACACTGTAATCTAGGCTCTAGCAAATAATTTTCTTCACCATAGCAACACACCTGGCCATTGCATATTGTTGCATATTTTGTGATTGCTTCTATTCAGCTATATAGAGTCATTTTTGCATTTGTTCTGCTACCCTCTTGGTTTGTGATGTGTTGACAGAAAAGGACAGAGCAGAAAGGCGTAGGACATCTTGCAATGTTTCTGAAAACCAGTTCAGAATGTTTGACAATATAACATGTTTGCATTGAGAGGTAGCAAAGACAAAAATAACAGAAAACAATTGCTACGTGTGCACTGCAAAGTATAAATAAACAAAAACACATACGCATGGTGGATTAAATTTGATTTTTAAAGAATTTTCAGTGTATTTCTAGACATGTATCAACATGTTTATTAACATCAAGCAACTGCTGTGAAATATGTTACTTATCTTAAAATATTCATCTCTGTACACTTCCAGCCAAAGGATAATCAATGTATTACTGTCCTTTATTATAAATGTAAGTTTTAGTGTCAAAATCGGGGCTGGTTTCACATATATACAAAGTTTGTGCTTTTGACTCAGAAATACGACAAAAGCATAAACTTGTAATAGGCATACAGGAAGCTGCTCCAAAAGAGCTGCTGGATGAAAACAGTGAGAGAAACTGTTTGTCTGTTTTTAATTCCTGTACATAAAAAGATTTCACCAGGATGAACAGTCTAGGGGGTGTGTTTTCATTTTAATAAATATGGGTTTGGTATGTGTGTTTTCTGACTGATTCTCAAGGTGTGTGTTTCCTCCATGCATTCAAATGAACCTGCCCAGCTGCTTTTTATCAACAAGTGGTCCTGCCACAGCGTATGGTGAAGATTAGAAAGAGAGGAAATTACTTTTTGTCTCTAGTTGTTCTGCTGAGTCTTGGGTTTACAAGATGACAACAATAATTAAGCTGATACAGTCAAACAGGCAGGGCCTGGTGACTGGTGAAAAAAACCCGTTTGATTACAAATGCACACTTTCATATGCATACAGTGAAGGAGATAAGGTAAAAGCTAAAGACACAAAAGACAGAAAACATTTGCTTTGGTGATTGCAATTGATAGACAAGAAGAATCTCAAAGCAGAATCTGAAAGTGATGATACATTTCTGATATTTTTCTGCTGATCTCAGTCTGCACTGCAAAGCTTTGCTTCTACAAAAAGTGGGGTAAATTCTGACATTGATTTGGTCAAACTTTTCCTTCTGGGTATTGTTTGAAAATTAGAGAAATACGTTTTGGACCTTAAGAATGGATTTTTCTCTTACAATGACCATTTAAAATTTAGTTCAAATACATCACGCTTTAACTGTGAATCAGAGGTAAACTTATTCCTATGAATTAAACATGGAATATTACTTATTATTGCTTGCGAAGTAAATATGCACATATTTGTGTTTTGTTCAACTTCAATGTATCAGTTTAAACCACAGACACTAAGAGATTTTCAAATCATTATTTTATTAGTCTGGGGAGAATCAATCTAAACCAATTGATCGTTGTTTGAATTTCTCCAGCCTAATAACTGCCTGGCATATGTTAGAAATAATCACTTACAAAGAACATTTGAACCAGCACAAGTAGGCTGAAAAACACATCATGTTACAATCTAAAAAAATTCACATTTATTTTCTAACTTTGGGACTTCACCACTGCAAACCAAAAGGAACACAAAGGCCCTTGTCACGTTTCCCAAAATAAAACTGATAATTTACAAGACTCTTAGGAAGCTATTAAAAGCACTTTCTCTTTTAACCAGAGAAAAGTGCTTTTTAGATATCAACACTTAAAATGACAGTGAGAGTGATATTGTCTGGCATGACTTTGCTTCAACTTGATGTAATGAAATCATACACCAGAAGAGACGAAATGCTCCAGTTTTACCTTAAACAAC